TCTTCATTTACAACTTCAAACTCAGAAATCATTTTTTGTGTTATTTAATCTTTTTTAATTCATATTTTACACTTTAAGTCTTTAAAACAAATTTAGCTTCACACTCACTGAACTGTATTTTCAACTTGTTTGTGTTATTTACACAGTTTCGAATATTAAATGTTTTGATCAAACTGATCAGAAACATCAGTGAGAAAAGAACGACTGAAGCTACAGAAACCATCTTTGACAAACATTTAAAGTCTACTCTGATTTTTAGTTTGGTCCATGATCCATCTGTTAACATGGAGGAGGGTTTATGATCTATACTGCAGCCGGACACCAGGGGGCGATCAAGATGATTTGGCTTCACTTCATGTTCGACTGACTCTGATGTTTGTTTCTGTTGAATCAGGACAAGTTGCAGAAGGAGGAAAAAAACACGTCAGTGAACCTGCTGAAGCTCCACGAAGGCTGGAGGTCGATTCTCCGTCAGACTCGAGCCGCCGAGCTTCGGAAAGACATCGACGTCCTCAGTCAGACATTTGAGAGGCAGCTGGACGCCGTGAATGATGTCATCAAGGTGAGACGCTGCTCTGAGGCTCAATCCGTCCAAAAGACTCTTTTCCTTGAGCTGAAAAAACACGTCGCAAAGTTGAGTTCATGAGGACAAACTCAAACTTTATTTATAACAGAGCCGAGGACACGTTCAACCTTCACAGGAAGGAGCTACAAAATAAAAGCCTCATGTTGAAATAATGTCACAAATGATGAAATGAAGAGCGGATGATATTCTGACAGAAGTATGTGGACACTGATCATTTTACACATTTGTTCAGAAGAGAAAATTCATTTTGTGTCAAGTTGTGATGAAGAATCTGATGTAAAGAATAAAATAAGAATAATAATATCATCTGCTCTGTTGGTGGCGCTGCTGAGGTCACGATTGAAATGTTGTGTTACTGTCCGTCACTGTGGTGGAGGACGCTCCAGTGACCATTTCCTCTCAGTCTGATTCTTCCTGTTTGTTTCCCAGAGGATGGAGCGAGACCTGCAGGAGGCGGAGCATCAGGCGGCTCAGGTGCAGCAGCTTCACCTGCAGCACGTCGAGCGACTGCGGGCGCAGCAGGAGAAACAGCTGATGGTTCTGCAGCAGCAGTGGGAGGACGGACTGCAGCACCTGAGCTGCACGTTCAACTCTGAGAGGTCAGTGTGAGGATCCACAGCGCCCCCTGCAGGGAGGAGACATAATGAGGAACCATCAGAGGAAATGTATCTTTGTATGAATCCTGATTTTACACTTTGAGCTTTAGCTGCAAAGAGACACTTAACAGATGCAAAGACACAACATTTGGAATCAGGTTTGGATGTTGCTGGTCCCTTGTGACAAGTGGAAGTTCAGGGGATTCGCGGCGGCGCTGGTTCGATCCCTCTGCTGTGTTTTCAGGAGGCAGATGCAGATGGACTCTCGGCAGCAGCGAGCTGATCTGGAAGATGCAAAGTTCACTGTGGAGCAGCAACATGAAGCAGTGATGAGTGAAACCATCAGACTGTACAGCGACAGCATCGCAGCGTACGAGAGCGCTCACGAAGATCGGGTAGGTCACAGAACCGCTTGTCCTCCGGCTCTGTGAGGTTTGTCTCAGTCTCCTGTCTCTTTGTCTCTGTGGACAGAGGGCGGCTCTGCTCCTGGAGGGTTCGATGCTGCTGAAGGAGAAGACTCGACTGAAGCAGGAGACTCTGCAGCTCCACCGCAAAGAAGCAGAAGAAGTGGACGAGCTGCTCGTGAAGAACCAGCTGTTGATTGAGACGAGAGACAGAAGCACGAGGAGGCTGAGGAAGCTGCAGGTCCGAGTTCCTGAGCTTTGAACTGTTCCACAACGATGTTAATGTTCCCAAAGTTTAGAGACACAGAAGAAACGTCATCATGCTTCAAATCTTCTTCCACCGTCACAATAAATTCTATTTCAACTAGAATCCGACTCAACAGCCTCCGTATCACATCGGTTCAGTTAATACGTCTGATCGTTTTAGAAGATTAACAAATAATCCTAACTATCATCTCGTCCCTCCGTCAAGTGTCAAGAAAATCTGTCCAGTAGGTTTTAATCCTGCGTCACAGATTTATTAAACACGTCCAACAGGATTCAGTTTCTTCGTCTCCCAGATCAGTTTGTAAACGAGCGATCAGAGGAAGAAGCTCAGGATCTGAACGTCTGACTCAGAGATAATAACATGGAGGAGCTTTATTCAGAGGCTGTGAGCTGTCTCTTGCTTTTCCTCAGGACTCCATGTTTCAGCTGAGGATGAAGCTGAAGTCCAGTCAGACAGAGAAGGAGTTGGTGGAACGAGATCTGACGGCTGCCAGACACCAGGTGAACCAAAGGACGCACAAGCTTCGTGACCAGCTGACCCGGGGTCGTTCAGCGGCGAGGAAACATCTCGCTGACCTCAGCGTGCAGAGCAACGCCGCCACCAAGAAACTGCAGGAGGTCATCGCCAAGGTGAAATCTGTCACGTCTGTCTGCTGCCGCTCTGACTCCTGTTCTCCGTTCGCTCAGTTTTCACACTTCGTGTTTCAGGGGGACAGAGTTTTACGTGTCGCTGAAATGTGCTGGAAGCTGAAGAACGAGTTCGTTTCATCAGATGAAGATCGTCACGGATCTGAGGACGCAGCTGAGGTGTGAGGCTGAACGATGGATGAATTCAAATCCAGATGTTTCTGAAGTAACTGTAGAAAAGAGTCAATAGATCATAAAAATAGAATATTGCACTTTACAGCGACAACGTGCTTGAACGTTGCACAGAAACCACCACGACCTCAGCGCTCGCTTCATGAATGAATTGTTCAGTGTGAGCTCTGGGCTTGTTAGGGGGCGTGTCAGAGGCTGCAGGCTGAGAGCGTGAGACATCGTGATGTCACGTGAGACATCGTGATGTCACGTGAGACATCGTGATGTCACGTGAGACATCGTGATGTCACGTGAGACATCGTGATGTCAGACTTTCAGTGTTTCCTCCCTTCATGAGAGTTTGAGCTTTTTAACTTCGCAGAACTTTTACTTTTACAATAACCTTGACAACAAACTAAAGGGAGGAAACATCTCGTCTCC